GAACACAGTTTAAAGTTATGAGATAATAATGAAAAGGCATATTGAGTTGTTTTTGGATCCAAAGCTTATGACGACCCGAAAGGTTCTCGTAAATGTTTTTGTTTAAAATTTAAGCCCTCCGGTCCTGTAGCAAATAATAAGCAATTAATGCAGCGAGATTAATTACGATAATCTAGTTACACTTGACATTGACACAAAATTGTGCTGGGCTAGAAGGAAAATCTATTGAAATGCCCGTTCAAGGCTCTAACATTATCATCGTTGATAAAATCCTAACCGAGAGACATTGACTAGGTTATGATAAAACAAAACACTAAACAAGAGTCGGGTTTTGGACTTATGCTGTAGCATATTATACGTATGTGTAAACTGTGCGTATACTAAAACTTTTTATCTTTACGTTTACAGTTTTCTCGATTTGCCTAATGATAGAACGAAACAATACCAAAATTTTACAGAATATAAAAAAGTGCCCTATCGTATAATAGTTCTATACTATATAATAGTCTAGTAAAATACAAAAAACATCCATCCATCGATATTTAATTGAATTAATACCTATAAATAAGTATATTATTAGAACACCGTTGACTGTCTCAGTGGAAATTAATCGAAGCACCGACAGATAGGGATGAGAGTTTTGGAGCGCCCCTAGCGGCCGTACCGAAAAAAGCCTGAAACAAACCATCGTAAACACTGCACGCTACGTTATCGCCGGAGGGGTGTTATCGGCCCGCTATAAGTGGGCCTCCGGGGCGGGTCAATGACGTTCGTCGACCCGCTGCAACCCGCACGTGCTGGCCTCGCCCGCCCCTACGCGAACTTTACGGCGATCGTTACCGATCTATAAACACTCCCGCGTACCGGCCTGTACTCCCGCTGCCGCTCTAAGGCCTACACATTAGCAAGTCTCGTCCGGACATATCTGAATGTCACTTACCACAACATTCTCTTATTAACTGATGCTGTCTGAAGTTTCTCTATGCATTGTCACATATTGGCAAATCGCAAACTCTTTCTGCACCATCACCCTCCCGCGGTTATCCGCCTAGGTGGGGACGGCCCAACATGTGAATCATGTTATTAATGATAAGAGGTAGGTGCTTTAGATCAAACCTTAGGAACTCGGATGCATGTGGACGTAAATCACTTTGTTCCTTTACATCCACATATTAGCAAATCCTGTAGGGATACTTTGAACAGTGGTATTGCCATTACTATGTTCCGTACTCCACTTTGTTGAAAAAGTTTTTAAGACACTACCTAATGAAAATTTCATTTTTTCAATCATATTTTTTATGACATATGGTAGGATAGAATTATAAATTAACGTTAAACTACCGTGGAATTATAGCGTGGCGATGTTTTGCTAGTTTTGAGTGTGGGCCCCGTTTGGATAAGGCCTCCACGGTAAGGTCTCAGAAAAAAAGCAAAAGTACAAAATTTTTACTTTAGCCTGGCCTTCCATGAGACCGTGGTGCATCTTTGACCGGGCTGGTGCATTCATCCAACAGTAGAATTTGCTGCGCGGCCTCACAACAATGAACAACTTTTCAGTTCATTTTACCCGTACGATTTCATTTTTAAAAAGTTAATGTTCACCAAAATTAAATATAAGTTTGAACAGTATGCTAAAGATAAAAATAGAATATTTTTAAGTATCTCATGTTTAACATCAGTTTCATATTAAAAAAATTTTCCCGGTATAATGTCATTTTTTATTATTTATGAACACGTTATTGAGATTCATGAATAAAATTTCGAATAGTATATCCGTAAAATCCTTATAAATAAATGGCGATAATCGAAATACAAGCAAAATAGCGAATCGGTGAAATGTTAGAAGCGTTTTCAATGCCATTTACGTGGAGACGTTATATTTATCAGTCTACGGGCAGCGGGGGTGGGAGGGGGTGCGAGGGGGTGGCTACAGCGCGCAGGTACTAGGTGGGTCAAAGACGTTCGTTCACCCACTGCAGCCTGCGCGCACCCTGAAAGTAGGGCGTGACTACACACCTCCCCCGGTTGCTAAGTGCCGCATGCAAGTCGCCAAAGTCCTGCTTTTTAAAACCGCACACAAGGGTTTTCAACGAGACGCCTGCATACATCCACATATATTTTTATAAAAGGGGACTCGAAGAGTATCATCAGTTCACTACAGTAACTAGAAAATTGTGTCGTTTGACAGTTTCATTTCGCTTAGAATTTATACGATTGTAAATTATACGTGTTTAACATGAAACAGTTTGATTCGTAAAATGCCTACGGAAAATAATAAGGCTGTAAGTCTGAAAGAAACTGCACGTCAGGTCAATGAACCGTTTAGAGTGGAATGTGAATGACTGTTATACAGAATATTTGGCTAGGTTTCAATTTTTAGCTGACTGGAATTGGAAAAACAATGGAGGTAAACGGTTAACGTAGTTACTTAGGAAGGTAATACAGTAATTGCTTTTTGTTTTCAGTATTTCTTTTAACATAACTTCTAGTAGCAAAAAAGTTATCTACTTATATGTTATTATTATTCGTTATATATTCATATTTATTCTTTTTATTCAGTAATGGAAAAATTAACGTAACTGTTATGTAACGTAGAGTTCTCATTTTCGAACAATCTAATTTGTCGCTATATTTATTCTTTCTTCGTAATATTTGCGATTACAATGTGGGTCGACTGTTTTTAAGCCTTTTTTACTGTGACTATAAATTATATTGCAGGTGATATAAACATATAACATATATTTACGAGGAAAATGCGATTGCGAGTTATGTGTGATTCAACCGGCAAATGAAATTAACAATCAATTAATACATTAATGGATACTTAATGACCGTAGTAGTGTCTTTTAGAGATAACAATGTATCTACATTAACTTGACCTTTAATTGTCAGCTTTGAATATTAATCTATAATCATTATAGCGCGAAGGAATCATCAACACGGAATATTTATTTATAGATTTCTTTGTTTAATTCTGACTTTTTATTTAGGAATGATTTAATTTTTCATAGTTTTTAGTATCTAAAACTCAATTATTCAGAAACTTACTTGCCTATATGGCTTGATTGTCTATCGTAGTAAATATGGAAATTAATATATTTGACCGATAAAAATTAAATAACATTTATTCATAGAGCATTATATTCGGTTCATTACAAAATGTTTACTAAAAAAATACTAATTATTTTCGATTTCCTTTGAACTTTTGTACTAAATATATTATCCATACTAATATTATAAATGCGTAAGTAACTCTGTCTGTCTGTCTCGTTTTCACGCCAAAACTACTGAACCGATTTAAATGACATTTGGTACTCATATAGTCTGGAGCCTGAGAAAGGACATAGGCTATTTTTAATTGGAAAAAGGGTTATAAAGGGTTCTTAAAAGGGTCATCAACGCGAGCGAAGCCGCGGGCGAAAAGCTAGTTGTATATATAACTATAATTTTATTTTCAAAATGATAATCTCTATAATTCCGATCACGTTACGTTTACAAACAACATCTCAGCGCTATTATTGGGCCATGACCTTAATGACAGAAAACGTTATTAAATACTTTAAAACTCTTGTGCAGCGTTTCAATCAACAACTTGTATAGATATTATTGTTTGTTTGAGTTGCATCTTTATGCCTGCGATATTATAGACACTATATTATTGTTGTTAAAGCATTAGAGCGCGTTATTTGGAACTAATTGCACCAGCTAATAATAACACTTTAAATGACCGGTTACTTAGCTTACATGTGCAAAATATCATTCAAATTATTTACTGTGTTCATTTTAATAATCAAACACTAAATATGTGATGCAAGATTAAGGCGTTAAGTAAACACTCAAAGTAATATTGCAATTGACCACAGTGATATCGTACTCAGCTTCAATAACCACAAGTTTTAACAAAACTTTAAAAAAATCTAATCATATCAAAGGAATACCTAATCAGTTAACATGTGTGAATAATATGTAATTTATTATTTAAAAATGTAATTTAATTTTAAAAACAGTACATATTGTATATTGCTCGTCATAACTTCGCAAATAGCTGTTAACACAAAATAAAAGCTCATTAATTTTAAATTATCCTAATTAAATTTACATTAGGTTGCGTATTAATTTGTATATTTTATTATTTAATAATCTTATTATGATATCATTCGTCTGATAACATCAATGAAATAACGCCTGACCATCCGCATGTACCATCTACGCATAATTCTAAGGTGCGTTCGCATACTAACAGGTACCGCTTCAACGAAAGTGTTTAGCAAGAATTAGAACATTACGTAAAGGCATGTACGGCTGACGTGTGACTAGACTGGTTGCATCGACTTAGCGCTCAGTACGTCTAAAGTACCGAGCCTTCGCCTATGTACTCGTAAAAGTAGATAGAATGTCTAAGTCAGCCAGGCCAGTAGGAGCCAAGGCTAGGTGGTTCCAAGGAAACATTCGACTGTAGTCTTTGCACCATTGAGTTAAAGTTGCATTTTGTATGTTACAGAACCTCAATGACGTTCATTGACTCGAGCGTTCGATGGAGGCACATTGCTGTTTTCCTTCTCCGTTTTCATGCATTGATATTAGAAACTATTGATGCTGTTTGTGCCATATTCCAGTACTTTAAATGTTTGTTTACGAGACAGCGACATATTCGATTGTAGACTAAATATTCAAACGGCTTGTGGTGCAATTTGCAATCGGTTTGCCTCATTATTTGTTGTTCTTTGTCTTAGTAGTCTTTTTGATAAGATAAATTATCATTAAATAACGATATTTATGTCTAAGCTAAATGAAATAACAACACATATTAAACTATCACTTTCACTTTCGTGGCATATCAATGTTGAAATGATACAGCGCGGCATGGCTCCCGCCAATTCCGCGTTCTAACTGTCACGCATATAATTACTATTTTTAAAAGTCGGAGGGTTTATTTCATTTGTCGTCTTGCTAGTGTACGGCCAATTTCGGAGGGTCCGCGTGTAGACCCGTTCGTCTCAGTTTCGCGATGAGTTGGAGGGAATCGTGTGCAGCGGCGGGGCTCTGCACAGATTGGTCGCTTCGGACGCGAGGTGGCGCGGAGCTCGTGACCCAATTTCGCAGCTGCTGGTTTCAGCAGCAGCGAGGGTCTCCGCGGTGGAGGGGGGGTGCTCGGGAGGGGCGGGCGACGGGCGCGTGTCAATGCCGTTCGTTGACTCGCAGCAGCGGCATCGGCGCGGCCTCCGCCTTACATAACCACCAACAATGAATGCTAGCGAGTGCGTGTGATGTGCCCACTACCCGAACACCATTCGAAACGTTCCATTCGCCCGTAATAACGTTCGAATGTCAAATTCAATACCGAATGCCACAACAGCGATTATACGTGGCGCGTATCCGTTCGTAGTGGCTCAATTATCCCATCTGCGATAGCTTACAAACTTTATGAAGACAAAGATAAAATAAAGGCTCTCAATCCATATGTCAATTAATTTCGTACAGAACCTTTTTCCAGAAGAATGCGTTCAGTTTTTCGAAAACTCATTAAATTGTAAGGACAGCTGATAAAATGAAATATTTCATTAGTATTGTATTTGCATTTTAATGCGAAAAAAAATAGTGCAATTATTTTGTTTTATATGTACAAAATAAATATTTATGAACAAAAAGTTATTAAAGAAACATGGTTGAAATTTCGGTTTAAATTTAACAATTAAAATTATAATTACATTTTGCAATAAGGGTCCTATTGGATTGAACGTCGAAATTGTCTTCAAGGGTTCATAAGGGGATTGTGTGAATGGGTGCTGGAGTGAAAACGTGGTTCGCGCTTCAGCGAGGGCGCAACGGCGGCCGAGTGAGGGCGGGCGGGCCGAAAGTGAAAGATACAAGGGCGCGCGAGGGGGGGACGGGGGGAGAGGGCGGGGCAAAGGCGAGCGGAGCCGCGCGGCGCGTCTAGCCAACCGAGTGCACCGCGCCGCAGCCTCACGCAAACAAAACTTTAGTTACTAACCTACTTCCGCGCGGGCGCCAACCGCGGCCGAGACTATTGCACTGTACTGTTCGCTCTAGTGCGTACGTCGCTTATCTATGACTACCCAGTGATGAACTGTTACACGAAAATACTGAACCCGTCGCGGCCTACCGCCCGTTCTGAATGGACTCTAAAGTTATACGCAGGGGACATTTGAGCGAAATGTTTTACGGTGAGACGTTGTGTTCAAGCTTTTATTTACTTCTTTTTTCTCTGAACCGGCATGCAAATGTTGCTCTATAAAAATAATTTTTTTTTTTTTTACAAAAGTACGCACACACCTGTTATGCACTTCTTTGACATGCTCAAGCTTTTCGTGTTTCGATTTTTTTTTATTTTCGCGCCACTTTTCTAATCAGTTGCAAAAAAGAGATTCAGTTAAAAGTAGTGAAATAAAGAACACGCTTATGAAATATTTTTGTTTTAGTGCGAAAGCAGTAATGCCTAATATGCGAAACATTTGCTATAAATAAATCCTAATAGTATCTTTTAGTTTCTTATACGACCACATATTTCTTTACAGATATAAAACATATCGATACAACCTATCAAAGATTCTAGAATGATATAGAAAAAGTAAACTAGCAATGTAACAAAAAACAAAATACTAGTAAATAAAAAAATATTAATTCTTTAATCTAAAAATCATTGTAGTGTGTTAACACAATTCTGGTAACACCGATATACATATTATGCATAACGAGTATTATTTGACAACAAATACAACGTAACATAATCTATTTTCTATGGCAATGGTATGATTTATTAAATAAGTATTAAGTAGATTACAAAAATTAAACATTACTTATAATTAATATCATCTTGAACTATGTATGCAAGGGAAATGCCATTAATGATAGCTCGTCGGCCATATTGGATTTATTTTTATTCGTTGTTACTAGTGTTGCCCTCTATGGAGAACTATTAAGAAAAAGTAGAAAAATGTATATGTTCCTGTTTCTAATACTTCACAAATTTAAAAACGAAACCACCTAAACGCAAATTAGTGACAATATAATTATTGCAATTTTATTATTATATGAAAATTACTATTATAAATAAATCACATTTTCCTTTTTTTATCTGTGCACGAACAAACCTAGTAAAATGACCCTTAGTAAAATGAGCACCCTTAAATACAATATAGAAATGTTAATTTTCAAGCTTCGTTTAAAGTAGATAATTGGTACTTTAGCAATACCACTTTATATTTTCATCTTATCAGTATAATAACGAAGTCACAAATCTATGTTAAAATTTTACCATTACAATACTTGCTACTAATACATATAAAACCGTAATCCTCGAAAATGCAATGGGGGAAAGTTTAGAGAATACCTAACTTTTTCATGTACAACCACGAGAATTGTTATTGGTATTTGGTTATAAGCTTAAAGACTAATTTAAGTGTTGTAAATCTTATTTGCGGATAATAATGGTAATCGTTTTAACACAAGCTCTGGGTGGCTCAAAAAAAGAGGCGTAATATTTAAGAGCAATCTGCCCGACTTGTGACGTGGCACATTTAACTAGGCAGCACTCGAATGTGCGTGCATGGATGTGTCTGTGTGAGTGCGTGTGCTCATCGAGCGCATATGTATGCGCGCTTTTTTGACGAAAACGCGCACACGTTCGTCATGTGGACTCTCTAAAGAAACTAGGTCGGTTCAGTGACCTATATGTTTATCTAACGATTGTGCGCCGGGCTTTGCGGCCAGCCCGCGCCAACACCGCCTTACGGCTTATCATATCGGTGCGTTCGCGTTTTAGTTTAGGTTATCTATCGGGCAACCTGTCTCCTGCACTATTCCTATAGATAACAACATAGTGTCAACAAGTTCTTTTTAATAAATTATTCCTTTTTTTAATTAAAACGATGAATCTATTTACGATTGTGGCCTTCATTAATATTAGTTGTTATTTTGGATTTAGCATTTAAAATGATAGTGCTAATATTTATATCCTTCAATATTTATGTACCATTTTAACACCATTTTTACAAACGAATACAAAGAAATCATTGAAAAAAGTTACTTAAACTAAAATTTATTTATTCATGCAAATAGGTTTTTTCAAATTCAGAATCCACTTACTGCGTATGCAATGAATAGTGAAAGTTAAGAGAAAGGAAAAACATTCAAAGAAAAGACATCGACAGCATTAGGCCTTATTTTATATTACATGTATTTTAATAAAATTACATTTATTACATTTTAATAAAAAAATCACATAAAATACCTTTTGCTAAGCATTCAATGGTACTTTATTTTTATGGAAGTACTGAATAATCGAGTGCGTACCAATTTCAAACTTTGTTTTCAACGAAACAATATAAATAAATTTCTCTACTGCTGAAATATTACATCATTTAACGTAAAAATATTCCAATATTTATCGATTCCAATATTCCGCAGCATTCGCGGTTACATCAACATTTAAGGAATCGATTTCCCTTCAAAACGCTGGCCAGAAAGCACGCATCAGAAGCATAGGCCATTAGCAATTAGTAACCCAAGCTAGTTACCTTCAAGCGCCGGAGCTGTCGGCCCTTCATTTTCGTTAGCGCCGTACATACTTTACCTTCGCGAAGGTGAACGCTTGCCTACCACAAATTCATAATTCACGCAGTCAATATATCTCGCTCGTGCTCACAATATGAGCAATTGCGCGGAAAGCGACGGATAGAGTTAGATACTGCCATTAGACGATTTAAACCGCGCCAGCGTAAGGTCGCTCGGACAAAACGCTGATGCGTCAATAAACGCTGGCAAGGTGACGCATTGTCGCTACGAATGTATTATTGTAATAATACCGATGCCAGATGCGTAATAGTGATGCACGTTGAAAAATTCATTTTATTCATAAACCTAACGGATGCATACATGCAACGGGTTTCTATTGTCTATCTATTCGAATGCGAAATATTGGCGCAAGTGAAATTGCAAAACGTTATTATACAACGCCTCGAAATGAATTTGGTAGAATTTAAATGTACTTATGATGGCTACAATTTACGCCTAATTATTAAAATCACATTCTCCAATTTACTTCTATTACTTCACATTTAATTTATTTTATTAAAAAAGTTTTGTATAATGTTTTATTAACGACAATACTACACATTTTGTAAAAATCAGTTTGATCGATTTTCTTTTATTAATACCTTATATAACTTCGTCATTATAAATTAAACTTATGTCAAAAATTTTCCCTCTTTACTCATTTCACGATAATTCCTAACGGCTAAACGCGATTACACTGTTTTTACTTGATATTAGAAGCCAATGTAATGAATGTCAGAAATAAAGTTTTCTAGGAACAAATGACGTAGCAAACAAACAAACTTATTCATATCATCAAATCTAAACTTCCGGACTAAAACAACAAGTAAACCACTTGTAAAATACAAAAACTGTCAGTTATAAATTATAAACAATGCTCGTAATATGAAAACACGAACTGGCATACAAACTATTTAAATCTTAACATCAAGGTGCAACTAATACAAAATTGTGCATTGGAACAATTGACTGACCGGTGTAATTATAAAGGAATATGATGAATAACAATTCAAAACAGAGTTTTATTTATAAAATTAAAAACTTAATAAGCGTCATACTCGCGGTCTCATTTCTTTATGCTGATGATGGACAATGGATAGATTTCCGGGAAGCTATTGATACCCATATATAAGATTCAAAGGGCTTGTCCTTTGAACCTTATTTATTACTAAGCTTCTGAATAAAATTTATCACAAACCTTCAGAATATACACCATCACAAATGTTCTAAATATAATCTATCACAAACCTGAATAGGATCATATGCTACAGTGTACACGAATACTTTGCCAATGTTTTTCATGCAATAGAATACTTTGGCCGAATTTGTTTTAAATGGCAACAGTTTCAGATTTCAGCTCAGCCACTCACAAACGTAGGTATTTACTTGATGAAAATCTTATGCTTACCATTTTATAATTCCAAATGTTAATATTATAATTATATTAAACAGTACTTTTAATAATAATTGGCATATAATGGTACATGTTGCTTGAGTTCAAACTAGCATCATCAATGAGTACACATTATATAAATTTCTATAACTAAATTTAAGCACCATTGAAATTGTACTATACAGTCAACACTTCAAATCTATTACTTAGTTCCGGAACTACCTTTAAATTCAAGTTCAACAAGTATGTTAATGTGCAGCTTTTGTATATTATTCAAATAAAGTACAATATTACTTGCTTAACATTATCTTTCAATATGCAAAGTGAACATTACAGAAACATATTTCAACTTAAAACGACAACAAACTTATTTCTCTATACATTAATTTGTTACAATTTGAACCATAAAGAAATGGGTAATGGTGATGGGTATTGTAAGAAAAATCTATAATCATCGTGTTTATAAGACAAAAATTAAAAATTAAAGTATATTAACTTAAAACTTTATTCTCTAATTGAACAAAAGATTTAAAAATTAAAGAAGATAAAATCCAGAGGATCATACGCTTAATTACAAATTACGTACGGTTTAGGCTTGTATTGAAATCAGCAATAGAGTTCTGATATCATCGTTGCTAGTTTGCACCTCTTCGGAAACAAATGGTACCAGTAATGGTATCAGTACAAGATGTTTTAGTTTGTGAAAACTATAAAAATTATGGAGAAAGTATTGCCTTGTGGCAGGCCTGACTCATGATCATTGCACTCTGAGAAGTTTAGTCTCACATGGAGCGAGTGTTTATGAAAGCAGAGAGAAATGTTACTAGGAAAAAAAAAACACGATTATTCGACCTGCAATTTGTCAAGTCTCAATCAAATAAGCTAGAATGGAAATAATTATAGGCAAACCGTATAATCTAGATTATAATTTATGGCAATTAAAATTCACAAGCGGCGGCCGTTGACAAGTTCTGTCAAATTAAAGGCAGTTTTAAATAAACTGGCACGATCGCCATCCAAAACTAACAACTTGCAAATATTCAATGAAGGATATCTCGGAGTACGATGTATATTTTATATTTATTCAATAAGGTTTAGTGTTTAACCGTTGTTTAATGTATTAAAAACTGTCCCCAAAATAAGAACGAACTAACTTTCCCCACACGATTGAAAATTTATACGTGTTTTTGCGAAAATAACCGTTAAAAAATTAATTGAAAATGTTTTTTCTTGTCGCTTGCTCGCCGAGTTCTATATTGACGTTTTTATGTGAAAAGATGGCAAGCGAGCTGGCGGCTCACCTGATGTTAAGTGATAACCGTCGCCCATGGACATTTGCTACACCCGTAGAATTGCAGATGCGTTGCCACCTTATAATAAAGTGAGCCCCGGCTACCTCACTCAGCAGACGAAACGCAAAAGCATATGGACACTTCCACTTCACGCTGGTCTGTGAGGTCGTGGTACTTACCTTATACTTAGGAATTGGAAAACAAAAATTATTGGTGAAGTTTAAATTATTGGTAATGGACGCTTGTTTGATTTGATTTATTACAGAATTTGACAAAAAAATGGGGGTGATTACTACACATTGAATTATACTACATGAAATAGGGGACATTAGAAGCGGATACTAGGTAGGCGTTCGCCTACTCGCATCCGCTCCAGCCCGCTAAAATCACGTTATGGCTCGCATCTAAAACTTGGTTTTAAATGTTTTAAACGGAGAGGAATTGGATAAAATTTTGTTGTAAAAATATTTTGAATAAAAGTAATTACCAAATAACCACCAAAAATGTAGATGTAAAGCTATTTTCTTTGCTATTTTTTTTATTCATAGCAGAGTCTATGCTCTTAATGATATACAATCAGCATTTCTGCTATATAATGTTCCTTGTAGTTTATATTTAAGCAATTGGCATTAACATTTGCTCAAATAAATGTATAACCAATGAAGTAAAATTATAAATAATGCTTAATAACCTGAAATATGTACACATATTATGTTCAAGTATGTTTATCAGTTTTCTAGGTAGGTACAACCACTAGTACAAGCTTTGCATAGTTTGGGACTAGAGAAAGTTGTGTAAAAGTGTGTCCGCAAATATTTATTTAAAAAAATATATTTTTTATAAAATCGTGTCCTATTCTCATCGTCACATTACATAATTATCGTTTTTAAATTTAGTTACAAAAACATTATAAGTATACAAACCCAATTAAAAATTACCAGTAGTAGATGTACTGGTAATTTAAACTTTAGTCATTTATTGATCTAAGAAGAGGTTATTTATGTGTACACATTAATAATTTAAGTAAAATATTTACTGTCGAACTTCACAAAGTAAACCTTACGTAAGCAATATGCCAATTTAGGGATAAACGCAATGACGTCGCAACAGCGGAGATGGATGTAAAATAAAAATCTCGATTGCTATTAATTAACAGTAGCCGTAAGTCCGTGACTCCCGGCGGCTATGCTGTTGTCTCCTAGCAAAGGTTTGGTCGCAAGGCCATCTATCGAGGCATGCGAGCCTGCGTGGGAAATAAGTGATATCACTAGCACAGCTTAAAACAGCAGACAGCGAATCACGCTCCAACGATACCGTACAACTTTTTACGTAACATTGTTAAAGCTCATAAAAATTCGATGCGTCAATGGCTTTATATTTTATATTTTACGTTAAACTTATTGCTGTGATGTTTGCTTATCGCAATTGACTCGATCTTATGGCGATAGACACTTTTGCTGCAACCTTTCACCGCGTCTCCCGTTTTTTATTTATAATATATAAAATATATTTTACTCAATAGCATAAAATATATTTTCAGTACCAATCTATATAAATTCTTACAGAGGAAAAAAATCTTTTGGGCATGAAAACTGGAAAAATACACTTACGTATGAGTATGAGTCGTAGTCAGTGGCCAAAGTATATCAATAATAATAATAAAGGTTTATTTAAACAAATAATAGAGAACAAAAACATCAATAACAGTAAATATAATATTACGAGAAGGTTGAATGATTTCTTTCTTTAAGAACTCGAATAGATTCTCATGTAAAGTGAACGTAAATTTATATTTCCTATAAATAAACGGTGACCTTTCGCTCGCCTGATGCGTCAGCTGAAATTACATGATGTAACCCATTGCTGACATGCACTCATACAAAGAGCGTCGATCGAAGAATTGGACGATCCCTTATAAATGTGCTTATTGTTGTTTGTGTGCTGTTGATGTAAGCGTCGCGGACGGCGACCGTCGAAATAGAAAGTGACTGGGTTTTAACGGTGCCTTATTGATAGTTATGTGCATATTTAAAATCTCATTCCAAATATCGATACCAACAATTTGTTATATTCCAAGTAGTCAAAAATTATATTTATATTGCTATTCTCTGCACTCAAGATTGTAGAAAAAATGAACAAAAAGGTTTTCATTTTAAACCCACGTCCTCTTGTATACGCCACCGATGCTCTAGCCACTGAGCTAAAAGGAAAAATGAATTTTTCTACAATTTATATTAAGTGCACGGAAAAACACTACAAAAAAAATAAAAATTTAATATCAAGGGTGCATCTCTAGTTTTAAATATATTTAATTGTAAAATGTTATAAGACAAATGGCCGTTTCCTGTAAAGGAAACACACAAGATGGCGCCAAGCATTGCTTTAAACGCAATAAAAACAAAGTTGATATAAGAAGTATATAATACAGCTGCAAACTTTTTGTCCATTTTTCTACAAATGTTACATTTCAAAAATGTTATTATTTAAATTATTTTATGATAATTAGAAGATGTTAATACACCAGTATATATTACTATCAAAATTTGTTTTCATCAGGATATGTATATTTTACTCAGCGAACAAGCGCTTGTCATCAAATCGTTTATTGCTTTACTACATGTCTTTTAACAATACCGGCTTTTTGACTAGGTACATCCAAGGAACACAACAATGTAAGTAGCAAACAGTACTAAAATAATCTCATATCAATAAGTTGTAACCGATAAAATAGTATCGATAGCGCGGGAACGGGCGCATCACTAAAGGTGAACGGTATGTCCACAAGTCCCACGGGATGTACCGTAAGCCGTAAGTCACGTGCTACACCTGGTACCGTTGGCTGCGCGCGCGCTGCCGCTGCCTAGACAGCCGATTACTCTCGCTTTCGATCCTGGCTTTTTATCCGTTAACGTTCGAACGGAACAACACGACTTTCTTCCGCCAAATGCCAACCAATGTCACTTTCGAGAAATTTTACGTATTGTTCGATTTACTTTCATGTTTTTTATAAAATATTAATATATAATAAGTCTTTAATTTGGAATTGAGTTTTAAATTAAAGGTTGATAATTTATTATTTTGATCATACGTAATATAATTTAATATATGTAAATGTTATGAACTATATCCAAAGATAGATGAAAGTTGGAGAGCTTTATTTAAAGAAAGATAAAAATTAAAAGCCATCATCAGTCAACTTGGCCCGCAACGAAAACAAGATAAAAATCGCATGAAGTAAACATTCAAAAGTTTAAAAGAAACCTTGACCACGGGCGCCTGACATTAAAAACGCACGCTCCTTTCACAGCACCGTCAGGTGTTCGTTGTATAACTCACTTTCCATTTTCTTTTCTTCCAACACAGCTTTGGTGTCAAAAGATTTTATAGATATCGGTCAGAAATTAAAAAAGAAACGAGACATTTATTATAGAGGAAACATATATTTAAGTCTTCCAAAATGGACCGGTCACAATTCTCGTTACCTTGAGTTGAATTATTGTTACATCTAAAATGAAAACAACGATATTGTATGATATCGCCACTACCAACATTTCTCACTTCACATATACATGTTTAATTTATTTAAAAACCAATTACAAAAATAATAATTATTACTATTTAGTACAACTGTAGAGAAGTAGTACATTCTTCTTAAAAGATTTTTATCTTCATATAGCCAATAAAAATGAACTTTGATATTTTTTATCTTACTTGCGGGGCCCTGACTTACGCCACAATGCAAACTGTCCGCGCGCTACGTTCGCTACATGTGGCAATTTTCCCGTTCCGAAGAGAAGCCAAACCTTGACCTAGGAGTTAAATATCATTTCGTCACATGCGTTTTGATCACTTTGCCTGCCGCAAGTTTTTATAACATTAAAAGCAACCGCGAATGATCGGATAAAATTTAGATAATACATTCATTGTAATCTGTGATCAAAGATTTATTTTTATAAATTACCTGTGACCAACATTTATTGTTTTTTATTACACATGAATTATAGTGAACAGAAGCTTATATAAGAGTCAATAATTTTTTTTGTAATTTTTATATTCGTATGTTCATAAAATATTTTGTCAACAATTAATTTTATAAGTCAACTGAAAGTAAAAAGTTATACATGTTTGTTTCATCGTAAACGCCACTAGATGGCACTAGTTCCATATGAAGCAGCAGTGGTGGCAGAGGGGCGCGCGCGCACGTTGCGCCACCTCCAACGTTTTACGCAACACGGCCGTTCACCCCGGAAGGTGTTTTCTTCGCTGTTTCTTTAGCCAGTATGTTACTGTGGCGGGATCGCGTGATTTGTTCGCGTGTTGCGCAAGCTCCAGCGCCCTCTGGCGGCCGGATCCGGACCACTCACATTCGAATCGCGCGGACCTAATTACCTTATCGCATGTGACGGTTAACCAGATGCGCTAATGTTGTGCTTTAAAAGAAGCGACAATTACGCCCGGTTACTGAGACACAGATCATCGTAGAAGTTAACTAATCAGCTGTCAAATGCCTTTTCAAATGTCATCATTCCGATCATTAAGAAGATCTTTCTGAACAATTCAGAGAGTTTAACCATCCTTTTCAACTCAAATGACATTTGATAGCTGATCAGTTCTACAATGATCAGTGTTTCAGAGTCCGTTAGCAAAAAATAGTTAGATTTGGCGCTAAAATTCCCTGAATAATAGGATTACCCTCTGAAAAACTTGAACAACGTTGGACACAAAGTTCTTGATGTCCAGTAAGTCGAAATCAATCACAAAAAAAAACTTCGCCTGTACTGACATATTATATACACAAAGAACAGACAGAAATTAATAAATTTCAATGCAGCAAGAACAGCAAACAAAAGGCCACCAAATATGTGTCTCTATGAAATAGCCAGCGTGATTATTTTGTCTGGGAGCACGGCGTGGCGTGTTTGGGACAAATATTTCCAAGCGGTGGTTAAATCTTAAGTCCATGTTTACGTTGGAGTGACGTTTTGTGAATTCTGGCGACAGACTGACCGAATTACTCACAAATTGTAAATCGTAATGATACTGACTACATTAACAAAAGAAATGCCATTTTTTTTTAAATCTACCAATTTAAATAACTAGACAAAAATATTTTCAATTAACTCTATTATGTTGTTATTCTTGTTTCTTAATCTTATGTTTCCGTTTTGTAATGTAAAGTGCCAAATATATCTTTTTTCTTTCCATCTATCTAAAAGCTCCTAGTTGTCTTAACTTTAATGATGATTCATTACTCCAATACCATTTCTTAACAATTGAGGTCTCGACTTATTTTCAGCAGAAGAATTTAAGAAACTCGTAAATGTTTTTCTTCTTGTAAACTAAAAATGTATAAAGTACTTACATTCAATTTCGCAAAACTGTATTAATATTTTGTTAAAAATTGAAATAATAAACCATGAACTAATTCCTTCGTAACAAGGGAGTTTAAATATTAATTCAGTATTATGTACATATAATTTATATGCTAACTATTCATCATTATTCGTCGGTTTCATTCACATTGTTTATAACTAGGGTTTCTTTAAGAAAGAGTTGTTTTTTTTAATGTGAGAAGGTGGCAAGCGGTTCATCTGTTGTTAACTGATAACCGCCGCTCTTTAACATTTCAAACATTCGTGCAACAGCGAAGACGTGGCCCGGTCCTACCAATGTTAAAATATCATAAAATCTTCACATTTTCTTCATTTCTACATAGTTTTACCTCTAAATTCTCTGGCAACCCTTAATTTGCTGTCACTACAATGATATTCCTTTCAAAATGAAACGGCTCGTGTGATTTAGCTGTCAAAGTCCAACATTTACATAACCACTGACATTGAAGCCCGCACTTACGCAAAAATGCAGCGGCCACTTGCGAAAGAGTACGAACATCGCACGAATACCTACTTAAGACAAATTGTACATTAGGTACATGTTAGGCACTATTTGATGCCATTCAGCTTTTAGAAAAATAAATTAACAATTGACCATAGAAAGTTGCATACACTGATCAGAAATTTTAATTCAACATGTTTGTGGTTTTAGCATACACTACTATCTTTAATACCATTGATATTATATTTATAATCAATTATTGTTCCATTGTTAATTGCAAGTTATACAACAGTTATGTCAAAAATAAAAACTAAAAAGTTATTTCAACAAATCGTGTGCAAAATATAGATTAATTTTCTTCGGTCTCAGTCTGTTCACAACTTTTAAAAATTGAAAGTTGGCTATTGATCGTGACAAAATTAACGTCGGCTGTGGTTTCGTAGAACAATCATCATTCATTTCTTGTATCTACCTCAACGCTACGTTTTCCAAAACCGCACCTATTACGGCCAATCTATGAAAGTCTTCACGGTGATGAAACCGTTAAACAAACTGAATCCGTCCGTAGTCCAACCGCTAAAAGCTTCAAGGCGTTGCACAAAAGTATCGAAATGCGACGATGGTCGCCTTTAATACGCCGTACCATTGTACTCCATTGCCTAATCATCTCGGGTGCTAATACTTGTAAATTAATACATCTCTTTAATAAAGCTGTCCCAAATAAACAAGGGTAAAGACCTTTTACGTAAGCACGTGTTACGTGTGCCGGTGAGAGGCAATGTCAGTCGAAGCAATCGGGCCATTATTTTGACAAGCAAGGAGGTGCTCCATACTAAAACAATGCTCTTAGTACCGTCACGGCTTCTGATTGCGGAGTGCCGTAACAATCACGAAGACGTCGCTGACATGTGGGCACATATACGATAATTATGGTCGAAGATCGTAGTAGATAATAAAGCATATCTTCCACAAAGAGATTTAATAAGAAATATATTAGGCAATGGCATATATTTTTTCTCGCTCTCCGAAAGCGATTTTTATCCTTTCTGTCCAGAAAATCTAAAACAGAACTGTATGATTCATTAAAATATGTTAAAATTGTTAAGATAATCTTTTTCTCTCTTGTTCAATCGTGTTTCTGCTATAGGCCAAGGTTATTACATACGAAATATTTTTTTAGATGTACGCTTCCCCAAGACTGCTTACATTTTGCAGATCAAGGTTCTTCTAATGTCTCGCATGTCTTTTGTTTCACTGCTGCCAAAAAAGGTCAATGAACAGCCTCGGCGTTTCAACAATCGCACCTTCAAATAATAAGGGCCAGCGTACTTTGGGCTTGCTGTTTCATTCGCGCCGTTATTAGCAAAAGGACAAGGCTTAAATTGCGAATCATCGGCTGCGCTTCCAAGAGCCGCTGCTGTAATCATCATTCGATAAAAGTGCGAGTGGATTTCGCCGTACAGCGGCGGCGTCGCCATTAGAATTGTGAGCTTATGTGTATGGGGAGTGGTGTCAAAATACTTCGGAGGTGTTTGGCGGTTACGGTGGCGCGGCGGTCGAAATGTTGGTTTGTTTATCGTTCGCGCGCGTTCTTGACAGCGAAAAAGTGAAAACGGCTGGGGCCGTTGCGAAACTAGGCGGCTAGCGGTGCGACGCGGGCGCGCGATTCGGTACCTCATAAGCTGACGCCCGTCCCACCTTACTGCTGTTATATAATTGGAAATGTGCCGTGATTACGCCTCACCTCCTAACGTGGCACGGTTTCCGAAGTTCATCGACCCCGAAAGGGATGGTCGAAGTGATCTTCACTTCGTATCGTCAGTTTAATTGCCACTCCGAAGAGGTGAAATGTTTCGGATTTTTCAATCATCCTCAAATCAGTTCATTGATTAAAGGTCAAAAAGTAAAGAAAATTAACATCCTTAATAAAATTAGCTTTAGTTTATTACGATTAACCGACATTATTAAAACTAACTACTATAAACGACAATCCAGACGACTTATATACAGACTTTGCCACAGCCAGCCCCATATCATAAAAATACAATAATTATAAAATAAAGGATTTAATCCAGATAGCATTAAATATTAATATAATTGAACTGATTCTCATATGGATATCGTCAAAAATCATTAAGCTTGGGATAAAATAATATTCAAACATGATAGCATCTTTTGGCAAAGGACCTATTAATTGTTTTGTTGCACAGCACCAAAATGTCACTGTACGAAGGAGGTGATGTATGTCATTGACATCGAACTATTGTTTATTGTTAGGGATGACCCATTCAAGCCAATTTCGTTCCGCTTATTACATACTTCCTGTTGTAACTAAGCAAGCTGTTGCTAAAGGCGACGTGTCTTAATGAACTGTCCCTTTGGTAACAAACAAGCACTATGTCCCACGTTCTAAACTAAGGTGTCTATTCAAAGCACCGTATTATACGCGAAAAGTCTTATTGGCATCCCTAAAATAACATATTTATGAGAAAATCTAACAACAATATCGGCCAATAGCTTCTTCTGTTCAATTTTGCTACTTCCCCATCACTCCATAAGTTGACACTGTGTTTCGTCTTTTAATACGATCAATCATTTAAATACAAAGTAACGTATATAGGTCGCGGTAAAAGAACAAGACATTTCGGTGCGGAGAATTTAAAACTATATAAGAAACAACTCCAATTTGAATACTTTCGTTGCGTGCGTCCGAATATTAGTCCGTCACCCCGCCAGTCGACATCGTTACTAATTGTAAATGTGGAAGAAAAAAAGGGGGCGATACAATGCAGTAGTGTACATTCATTACTTTGATCGCTTTTCGGAGTGTTTACCAATGGGCGAGGTCGTTCACACCATTTATCGGCGAAATTTTGGACTGTTACCAAAATTAGCGGCCGCGTCATAAGCGTGGTAACATTATAAGGTTCTACTTCTCAACTTTTATAATAACCAGAATTATTCAACTTCAATTAAACTACATTTAAGAGCGTGTTACTTTATCGACGGTATCAAGAGCGCCAAGAAGATCTTTAGGGACTGTGAGTCAAGAAACTTATTCGATTTTAAAACTTGTAGAAAACCAACAGCATTAGCACTATAAAAAAGCTGTGCAGAGATTAGCACTATTAAAAAAAAACTTTAAACTTATTGGAATATTATTCATAGTATAATACCGGCCGAAAAAGTTTATAACGAGCAAATTTTAACTACCACTGACTGCGAGTTACAAAAGATTATTTTTAATTTTGAACATAAAAATGTCATTCAAAACCATAATAAAGTAATTTTGTGTATTAATCTTTGGGCATTTCAAGAATTAAGAGGTATAAATTTTGTGACGAATAAGCTCCGAATTGAAATCAAGCGCTTCAATGAAATCTGTATTGGGGCTTCCTGCAAAAACCGAAATAACGCAACTTATTTTCGTTATGGACAAGTGTACAAAATTACGAGAAAAGAGCCAAACATCTTTCGCCGAAAAGATGTTAGCTGATACCCGTGACGTCATGTGCGTTGCTTATTATATTAACAGCTACACTTGCGCCACTTCTCCACGGCAAGAAAAGATACGTCACTAAAACGTAGTGCTTATAAAAATGTTTGATTCCTAAACGTTAATAATTTATCATTAAATGAGGATATGACAATAAATTTTATTAGATAAGGGCGAAGGGTCTAAGAAATAAAACTCAAAAGAATTAATTGAAATCTGTCCAGTAGTTTATCCGTAATGCGCCGACGCTGGCAGACCTCTATCATTTGATTTATATACATTTAATAACATATAATACTTGTTATTCTCATTGCTGTTGTATTTCAGGTCATCTATATCAAGTTTATTTATATAGATAACCTGAAATGAAACAGCTATTTTATGGCTATTTAAATTTACTTATTTGTCTGATCGGTTGTTACTGTGGGCCGTTATCAAGCGACTAATCTTAAATGGATCCATTATTCGAAATCAATTATTTTCGAGGTGCGCCATTATCAACTGTCACGTAAGGTAGGTCGTTCAACTTCAACTAGATCGCGAGACTGAGGCGTGTGAAAAACATCCGCCACTTCAGCACAATACCGATAGTTGGCTGATAACGGAACCCGCGATGGGAACGACCATTTATTGCCAAATGTTCGAGCGATGTTGCTACACCGCAACTTCCCAATGGAGGCTTGTGAGTCGACAGTCAGTGTCTAGGAAGATTATTCCGATCATTAACTGTGTTAGGGCCACGCAACAGTTTTGCACTGTGGCACGAATGGGCAGGTCCGTCCGGGTAAGTACCACGACCTCATAGAAGACCGGTGTAAAGTAGAAGTGTTACACTTCTGCGTTTCGTCTGGTGAGTGAGGTAGCCGGGGCCCGCTTAATTTAAAGGTAACGCATTTGTAACCCTACGGGTGTTGCAAATATCCATAGGCCGCGGTTATCACTCAACTTCAGGTGAACCACCAGTTCGTATGCCACTTTTCCACATAAAAAAAGATCGCTGTAATTCGGATCTACTTTTTTCTGATTACTTGCATACAGCTCTCGCAAAATAGCCATGACTCGCAAATGATTATGTGTGAGTGCAAAATTTTCAGTAATTTTCATTTAACACAGGCAACAGAACACGTTCTAAACGTTCATTCATACTTCACACAAGTTACTCGCTATTGAAAAACGTTATTTTGTCCAATAATTGGATGTAGTTCAAATTATGAGGTTATCATGAATAAATTGTTCGCTTATATTTCGATTTGATCGGATGTTATTAGCTAATAGGAGAAGAAAAGCGCTCTACGTCCTACCTCGATGAAAGTATAAATATTTCCGTGGGATTAATACATCAATTATCAAAATAAATCCGCAGAATTCGAACCTGCGTCTTCTGGATATCACGCTCTAAACCTCCGAGCTAAGTGCCAATATGTTCATGCTGAAAAATCCCAACATCTACTTTTTCTTTCTTTTGCATTTTTTAACATGCTTGGTGTCATCCAGAGAGCAATTGTACTGTAACTATACCGACACTCTAAAATAACATTTTACAATGAATGTTTGAACAACAGGTAGTGGAATGTAGCATTGTTTTTTGTTTTCAGTGCTAATCTGCACTCAATATGAAATTTAAATGTGGCACAGCGAGACGTGCGCCTTATCAGTAAACGAACTAAATAAACGAATTTCATTTTTTTTAATCTTTCATGTATGACTAAAACAAAACTTTACATGCAATTTTTTTCCGAATCCATCAGCGCAACTATATAAATACAACGGGCGATGCCTTTAGATTTGAACTCCGCGTGCCCGAGTACTTCCAATGAGTGGAGCGCCCGGATACTGAGCTGTATGGAAAAAAAAATCCTCCTCCAGAGAATTCCCGGCGGCGATAAAGTACCGCCGAACTCTGAGAACTTTCGTCCCGCCAAAAACGCCGGACGCGAGTTCATTTCGGGGAAGAACGCGACACGACGCGGTGTCAAATGATGTACGCGTATTTCCTGTTTGCGCGCGAATGGGGTTATCCGGCGTCGCTTTCGCCCGAGATAGGGCGGCGCGCATAGCCGCCGCGCCGGCGGTGTTTTTCTACGGTGGAATAGTTAACCCAGTTCCGATGGGCCGCGCACGCTAAATATACATACGCGCTACCTGACACATGGCGTGCACATACCTCCAGCCGCTTCTGGACGGCTGTCATTGTTATTAATACAAACCTAAAGACAGTTTTGAAATTGGAGACCGACGCAAGACTTACACTTGCGCGCTTTCATCTAATATTTTGAATGGATACATTCGCTCGTTTTTTTCATTGTATCACATTTGCCATTGAAAATTGAGTTAAACTTTGATCTAATACTTCGATTAGATCGTTCGTGTTTATGACTATATGACATTTTTCACTGAAAATCTCTAAAACTATTGTTTAACTCGGTTATTTTTTCCTATAAAGCTATATTATGTCGACATTGATTATATAATAAAGTATAAAATATGTTCAACATAACAATTGTTCGCTATAGAAACAAAATTATTTTGAAATTTATATATAAATATCCGTAAATAAGTAAATCACATTGCGAATAATATGTAGTATATATCTTTTAGGAACTGAGAGAACTTTTTAAATGATCATTATTCATTGATTTTTTTTGTGTGATTGTGATGTGTTTTCTTTATAAAAACAGTTTATTGAGTATGTAACGGATTGTTAATCTAGATAACTACGATTAGCCGCCGATGCGAACGAACTCTGTTTTAATGTAATCTAATACCCAACTATGCCATCGGCCCGCCGACCCACCAAACAGACAAAAACCGTTAACTGGGTTACTCTATTGTCACAACGACGATTTAAATCAACGGAATTTCAAAATAGCTAGTTAAAACCACTTGCTTTATAATTATATTTGCAACCGAAAATTCTAAACTAAGTACGCTATTGCGAATGAATAGTATAGTGACACTTCGTTATTTAATAAAACAAATATGATCATATGTATTTTCAAGTCTTATACGGCCAATCGCCAATCGGACAATTAACCAAACAGGCTAGCGATTAAAAAATACGTTAGTCAGCAAAGTACATGTTGTTGCCGCCTCGGAGTGTGATTGTCACGCGGTCAAGAAGAGCAGCGCGTGCGCATTCGACTGACCTACTTACGAGCTGATGACTAGATCCCCCAGCGACCACACACGCCACACCGCGTTATACCCGTCGACACCGCACCGCTGCAACCCATCCCAATACTGAAACAACGCTAAATTTTAACGAAATCCCTTTCGACGGTTCATTGACCCCGCTATCGAAATCCGCACACTCACACGCTTGTCCTCGAACGGACGGACAAGATAAAAAAAAGTGAAACAAAAAACCCCGCGCCTTACAACGGTGAATGAGTACAAGACAGAGATAAATATATTTCGGTGTTGCGCCCCGTGAGCGTAAGGTCGTCTACGAAAAACACTGACGCAATTTTTACAGCGTACGCAATTGAGCACCGACCGGGGCGGAGGTGTGTGCGTGAGCGCCGAGAGCGACGCCCGCGTCCGCCGAAACGGAGGCGGAATATTTAGGTGAAAGTGTTTCGAATTTCGACATTACGACATTCGCGCGCAGTCGTTATCGTGATTTTGCCGAATCGAGAGGTTCGGGAGGCGCGCAGGCGACGCGAACGCGAAACCTCATGTGCCCGTATCGTCCGCAGGAAGTGCTCCGCCACCGACGCCCTGACCGCGTACAGTGCCCGCTCCGTTGAGCTATGCTCACAGTCGGTGTGTCCATAAGTTTCCAGAGGCGTAAATTGAAAAGGTGATCCGTGCAACTGAATAGCGGTGGACTTTGTGTGATGTGCGAGCTGCAACGCTAGGCAAACTGTCGGAGGGCGACAAGCTGGGGCCCGAAGAGGCGCACGACGCCTCCGCGCATGCACGACAACTTCAGACGATGACCTCCACAATGGGTAAATATACGCATTATAACTAAGGAAGAAAACGCAGTTAAAAAAATCAAAAAAAATCTAAGCACATCCTGTACTTTAGAATTTTCAAAAAAGATCCAGATTATAATAAATAATGGAACGTAGAGGCATACGTAGCTGCATGCTACGATAGCTACGCTCGACAGCCGTTTGTTTGCCATTACATTTAATTTTGTGAGACGCTTGTCACAAAATTGAATTTAATTTTACGCGTAATATTTCCTTTTTATTAATTTATTTTTGTTTAATTGGTTCAGTCTTTTTTTCAAGTTATTTTTCCTTTTCCTTCGTTTTGGACATTAACATTAAACAAAGTATTTAAAATTATATATGCATAATTTTAGTATACATTTTAAATACATCATTTAAATGATACGTTCAAAAATGCTTGGGCTTTTAAATAACGTGTAATAATTCATCTATGTGATATTAAACACTAAATATTTATAATTCCTATTTAACATAAGATGTCATAAAATTGATTTGTAAAACATGAAATTTTATTGTGGTTTAAATAATGTCATCTCAATGAAATATTGTGCAATTGTTTAACCTACGCAGCTATTACAAATTACATGCAATAAGTTAAACTTTAACCGTGACATTCTCAAAGCATCCCGTAAAGAACGATCGTGACTGCAATTGTTTAACTCTATGGCCGACACTTTTACTTTCATTTCAATATAGCCGCCCTTTGTCTATGGTCTATGACTCGTCGGGGTCAACGTACTCTCGCCATTCTGCCTTTGCCAAAATACGTTTTTTACGCTTACTTTCCAATGCGGTGAAAGCGAAAAAGTACCGAATGTCATTGCTTCCTTTCAAAGCATTGTAGTGGGAGGATGTCATTGTTGGTTTCAAATAATAATAGGCGTATCTGCATAATAATTTGTAATTTCACAGTAAAAGAGTTTTGACATACAAATTTATAAATAAGAATATAAAAAAATTGTAATTAAGAAGATGCCACAAACCATATTTTGAAATGATCATCTTTAACTCGATCTAGTAGTGTTATTACTACATATAAATATTTATATTATATTCATGTGTAAGGAAAAATACAAAAGCATTTTTCTTGACACATGATGTTTTTATTTTTTCAATATAATTTAGTATTAGCTATAAATGATTCCGCGGAAGCATTAAAAATATTCAATGGCGCGAAATCTTTGCCGAATTTAATATGTCTATTTAGAAGATATTTACATTATAACTTGAAATTATGAGATAGGAAGTGAATAGGTCGGAAGCGTACAGTTTTAAATGGAATAGCTGAATCGTGCAACGTTGAATGTCAAGGTGCAGTAAGCGAAGGCTTCCAGGGGCCTTTTTTATTAGCCAAATTTCGTGACATTTGAAATTTTATACCTTAAGAAGATCGTAGAAACCCTTCTTGGGTTAGAAACTTTTTCAATGTCTGTTTTTTATACAAACAAAGCAAAATATACCTAATTATGGACAAATATGAAACGATTTCATTAATTTACATTTATAACGATGACTCCGTGGCGCAAATCCTAAGCTTCTTAAAAATAAACTTAATGATAACTTTTGTTTATTTTATAAACGTCGTAAACTATTTTTTTACTTATAATGTTTTGTGTATTTTTTTTTATTATTTTCATCTATAAAGTTATTTTGTATATTACTCATTATTTAATGTATAAATGATATATAATATTGATAATACTGATGACTCCGTGGCGCAGTTGCCAAGGTATTGGCTTCGGCGTCGGGGGTCGTGGGTTCGATTCCCACACGCGACAACTATTTGTGTTAACCGCAGATAGTTGTTGCGCATTTGGGTGTTTGTTCGCGTGAAATTTATGCTTGTAAAAACGTCCTTACAACACAGGATAATGTTATCCTAAAGTAAGGGCAATGTTATAAAAAAACAAAAATAAAATATAATCATTGTTTTAAACCGAATAAACAAATAAACTTTTCGTTAAATATTAGCGAGTCTATATCCGTCTATAATAGGCGTTAATTATTATTCAAAATGAAGTTATTTATGTACAAAGGATCGGTTTTCGTTCAGAAGTGTGACCTCGGAGCGACACTGACATTGCCACCGGAACCAGTCCAATACTTCCTGTATCTTGTTATGACCACAACTGAGCCCTGCAACTTCCTTGCGTTTGCAGTAAACAACTTTTTCAAAGCCGAAATTATATTACAAAGTTTTCTTCCAATTACTTCACACAGCAAAGGATACATTATAATATACAGAAATGTTAAAAAATAATATAATAACACTGCATGCGGAAATTGATGATAGAACATTATATTTAAATTGCAAATATGGAAAAAAAATGTTAGCAATCTTGTAGATCTTTAATCGTCCAATTTATATGGGTTTATAAATGTAAGCTCACATGTTTTATGAACTTCTTGTATTATTTCCGTTTTATAAAAATAAACATTAATCAACAGATGCATTTAAAACATAAATTATAGGTGAGTATCTATACATTTTTGTTGTATAAAATATTTGCATATGTAATCGTTTTGTTACTTGCTGCTACCTAAAACTAACTATTCATGTAACAAACAACCACCGAATTAAAAATGTAATAAGCAGTTTGAATAAGAAAAGAGTAAGAATGCGTCTTAATCTCTATTTTTTAAGCGAAAAGGTGGCAAATGAACATACGGTTACTTGATGTTAAGTGATTACCACCGCTAAAGGATATCTACAAAACTAGAGGTGTTGCAGATGCGTCTAACCTTTTAAAACAGTGAGCCTGATTACCACACTCGCCATGCGCAACGCAAAATGGAAATATATCCACTTCTCGCCGGTCTTCTGTGAGGACGTGGTACTTCCCCAGATGAGCTTGCCTATTTAGCCAACTGTGCTAGTTAAAGATTTTTTCTACTGCTCCAACTACAACAGGGCGACGCTTACATGAAGTTCATTTGTATACTATTCCTTATAGTTAAAAATTAAGAAATAATAAGAATACGTCATAATAAAAATAAGCCGGGCAGAGGAAGTCTTCTCAGGTAATAGAACGTTTAAATAAATACGGGATTTTCTTTTACTTACTATTTAATGGAGCCCTTAGGAAACGGAAAGCTTTGGAGCCAGTGGCTGACCGTGGCCAATGGATAACTTCCGTCTGGTTTCGGCCTTCTAACAACTTCTCACATATGCATACAAATAATTCGGAATGCATTAAAAACTTTTAAAAAATCATTGCTCGTATGTGATATGTTAACAAATATCAGTTGTCATAAATGTAATTAATGATCTCATTGGTTTATCATATCCTGTGACTGTATAATTTTGTATTACAAATATTTCGTATGATGAATGACAATAAAACTTACAACTCAAGAGCCTTCCCCAGATCCCGATTTTTTCATTATTTACATATATTATGGAACGATTGAGAACTATAATTGCCATTTATATATTGCTTGCAAACACAAATTTCAATTTAACCTCGTACTGTATTTGTAAAATAGCTTTACAGTTGGTTCGTCTCTTTTAAATCTTAACATCAGTATAAGAGACGTGAGGTTACACACCTATGTAGAGAGCCTCGACACCGCGTGTTATCTACTCAACTTCCTTACGATGCCTCACATTGGATTGACTTACCACGTTTCAAGTTCAACGGCTATAGCCTTTGTCAAACACATCGAGGCAACTGAACAGATCGACACTATCACATTTAATGTAAAACGATTATTTCTGTCATTTTATACAAATTTAATTGTCACGTTGTCGTTACGTATAAAAACGGTATTTTAAGAAAATAAAGTTATCACGATTCACCGAATGCGGAAAGAAATAAAGTTCATGACCTCATCAGAGAACCGTTTATGAGGAACACGACTCCCTCAGCGCGCGAATTAATTTTTTTTCCGTTTCATTTACGCGACGTTATCAAGGTCTTTGACTCATTCGAGTTTATTTCGGGGTCTCGCTAGAATTCGTTTACCCGTTTCGCATTTAAAATAGACGCTGTAAGAGCATTGCACTCGCTTTGGGTTTCTTAAAACCCTTTTTGAAACACATTTCATTGAATAAAAATAAATGGTACATTTGTTAATTTTTCGAGATTTCGAGCGTTAAGCTAACGAAACTTACTTCGAGGAAGTGGAATTACATTATAAAACAACATAATCAAAGACGGCTAACTTCAAATATTTTTAGAATAACCATGAGGTCATTAAATACGAAACGATAAGTCTTCAACGTTTTAATCAAGTTTACACAAGAGCAACGTGACGTCGGTATATTGTAGATGATTACAATATACAGACGTTATTACAATATACAATTTATTTCAAATTCTGAGTCTTAGTCGATTGATATCGCAGCGATAAAATTTCTCGAAGTTAAAACCGAATCGTAGTGGAATTCAACAGCTCTTATAGCGTCATTGACGTCTATCTACGTCACAGCAGTTATTTCATATGCAACGTCAATATGTAAACGAATACTGTAATACTCCTTAGTAATCGAGTACTGTAACATCATATTTGGGAATAAATGCGATATCGCAATTCTGATGACACAGTCATCAGGCGATAAAAGCTTCAATCAAAGCTATTTTTGACGTCAACCTATCGTGGACAAAATCTGAAAAATTACGCGTGGTTTCCAGACTATTCTTATATCAATAAAACACATAGGCAAAAGCGGTCAGTTTCACTGCACAGGAATGGTTAAAGTCAACCGGGGAAGAATATAAAAAGCCTAAAAAAGTATTTACTTTTGGGCCTTGGTCGGCTAGTTTTATGATATTTTTATTAGACTTTCTTATGGTTCATCCTTATAGTCGA